GGAAAGATTCTGACACTGATATTTGAGCACCGCCCCCCCCCCCCAAATAGCCATTCTAGTTCCGGGCGGGCTTCGGAGATTCTGATCCATCCCCCACAATAAAGCCCACCAGGCACCAAACCCCATTCATCAACACAGAGCTTCCAGTCAGCTTTGTAGAACCTCACTCCTAAATATCACAAGCAGCCATCGAGCCATTTGGGGAAAGCCTCTACCATAGAAGACGGAACGAAAGAAACAGAGGATAGGAATATTGGGCAAGAAGACAATGAAGAGAGAAGAATAATTTTTAAAACCTATAAGTAATAGTCTCACAGATGAGGAAAAATATTAAAATTATGATGTTAGAAATAAGAAAGTCAAAAGGGTGGAGAGATCATCTGAAGAAAGTAGAGGGAAAACTAAAAGACAAAGATGGGAAAAAGGAGACAAAACCAAGAAAATGAGAGGATCAATACAGGAAGGAGACTAAACAGTCTACCTTAGAGGCCCCATAGAAAGAAAAGAGAAAAATACAGAATTTTTTTCAAAGAAATTATGTAAGAAAATCAGCTCTAAAGGACATGAATTTTCAGATTGAATAAGACTACCAAGTGCTCAGGACAATAGATGAAAACAGCCCATAGCAAGGCACATCATTATGTAATTTCCAGACAGTAGAAGAGATAAACAAAGGATGGCTAAACAAAAATAAATAACAGGAATCAGAATGGCTGAGACCTCTTAGTTACAATAGGGAAACTAAAAGTCAGTAGAGAAATTCTGAAGGGAGAGTGATTGCCAACCTAAAATTCCATACCCATTCAAACTATCAAAAGTAGAATAAAGTGATTTTCAGTCATTCTAAGTTTTAAAATGTAACCTCCAACACAATACTTTCTCAGTAAACTACTGGAGATATTTCACCAACATGAGGAAATAATACCAAGAAGAAAAGATGTGAAATAAAAGAACTCTCATATGACAAAAAGGTGTATAAGAAAGGAAATGTAATCAACTACCTGCTTCAGCATGCTCATTAAAATGTAAACATTAACTATCGATTTAATGTAAAAATTTCCTACAGATATAGCAAGAATGGGAGAGGGGAAATATGTGAAAGTTAATTTGTGTGTGTGTGTTTTTCTAGGGGAGGAAGGATCAGAGGTGGTGAAAGACCTACACTCTCATCTTCCATAGGAAAATCAATAGGTAACATCTAAAACATACACACAAAAATTAAGGTAAAGCAATATGAACATGTTATTTAAAAATTTGGAAGTAAATGCTACAACTGCTAAAAACTTGAAAGTAGCTGCCTCTGGAGAGTGAGAAGTATGGGTAACTTGGAAACTGATGGTTTTCATCAACAACTATGTGGTACTACATAGCCATTAATATGCATTATTTTCATAAGAAAAAAAGCATGGAGTAAAACTATCACTAAAAAGGATGAAAAAGGTAGATGGGAATAATTTTTAGAATACATTAAATCAAAACATTGAGTTGCTAAACAATATGAATAGTATCACATTTATGATTTTTAAAAAATCTACAACACACACAGCTACCTGCACAAATAGCACTAAATTCACAGAGCAAGGTCTGGAAGGACACTCATCAAACTCTAGAGGGAGAGTGGGATTAGAGGTGAGGGAGAGATGGGGGTCATGGGGCCTTTCATTTTTGTTCTGTAAGTGCTTCTGTATTGTTTAAATATTTTTTACAATAAAATATCTATAAATATTTTTTAATGACACAGGTTCATAACATATTGTTACCCAAAAAAGCAGCCATAAAGGTATGTATTTGCTATGATCCCTATTGTGTATTTTTAAAAATGTAGATTCTAAATTTAAAAAAATAAATCAAAAGAACACCTTTGTCTCAAACAAAATATTACTCAACCCCAATTTAAGCAGTAAACATTAACCTGCTCTGAATAAAAGAGGAACAGGGATCCAGTGCTGTGACCAGCCAAACATCTATCTCCCCAAGGCCTTCCCAGGCTTCCAAGGGAAACTCAGAGTTCCTGGCAGCACAGTTTGAAAACTACTACTACCATAAAGAGGAAGGAAAGAAAAACTCATAACAGGACTTTCTCTGAGATGGGGGATTATCAGTGATTTTTCTTTTCTTTTGTATGATACACATACAAATATACGTTTTGTATGGATTTAGAACGATTTAAGTAATAATTATCTGTTCCCTGAACATACCTATATAACCAGCTTAACCTGATATATTTGAAGGGGTGAGAGTAGAGATTGCAATAAAGCTTTTCAAGTTATTTTTCTATATTCACATTGCCTATTTCTTAGGTTAACTTTAATTATTTATATTTTTCTAGAGAATGTTTTTATTTTCATAATGTTCAAATTTATTGAATAAGTTTAAGATTTCGTTCTTTTCATAAATTCAGTTTTTAAAACATTATTTTTCAATTTTACTTTAACAATTATTATCTAATCAAATTTCTTTTTCTGGTTTTGGCTTTTTTATTACTATTCTTTTTTTTTTTAGCTTCTTGAAAGTTAAATTCATCATTTTATAAATTTCTCATTTATATAAAAGCATTCAAAGCTATCAATTTTCCCGTGAGTGTGACTTTGGCCACATTACTGACGTATTTGTTGTTTAGCATTCTGTCATTGATTTCTAAATAATACCCAATTTCAATTTTTCATCCTTTGATCCAACTGCTATTTCAAGCAAATATTTTTAAACCTTTACTATTAATTTATAATTTTATTTCACTGCAACAAAAGTGACATTCAAAAAGAGTTTAACTTTTTGTATTTTGAAATTTTCAGTGTGATTTAGTACATGATCAATATTTATAAATGTCCCATAGCATTTTAAAATAATCTTTCAATAGCCTTTTGCTGTTGGTCCAGATTATGCCTCTGCTTATGTTCTTTTCCACAGCATTTTTCCACTTCTTTTTGGATTTCTTCATTGTATATACTGAATTGGCTACTAAGTATCAGTGATCATCTCCTTTATATTGCAGAAAGTCCCAAACTTTCTGGCGCAAAGTGCCTTCCTCTGCAATTATGGGGACATTTCTGTCCTTAATTTTACACTTCTATTATCATTTCAATGGAATTTTTTCAGAAGTGAAAGGTAAAAATCATGGGCTCAAAGTATAGCATGGTATGTAAGAACTCGGTCTCAAGAATCAGAAAGACCAAAGTTTAAATTCTGTTTATACCATTTCTTTGATACAGCACCTTGATTGTGTTACTTAAATTCTCAAGGCTTCTGTTTCCTAATATAACAGAATAATTATGGTAGTTACCACCTAAGCTTGTTAAGAAAGGTTAATAAGAAAATGCAGGGAAAAGCACTGACTATATTATTTGACAAGCAGTAGTACTCAATAAACATCCGTTATCATTGTTGAAATGGGAACACTGGTCTGAATTTTTTATTACCGAATGACAAACAAAAGGGATGCAACATTTTCTACTACAGCCTGATCATATAGAAAATAAACTTTATGTATATTCTTGACAATCCCAATTTATTAAGACTGTATCTAATCATAATACTATAGCCTAACTTCATTAATTACATTTGATTGCTCATCATTTGTAATCTGTCTGGTCTACAGATAACAGTTAGAAGAATTTCCTTTCTGTAAATCTACAGAACAAACATATCACTTATTATGAAAAATATATCATTTATTACAGTACTTTTAAAAACTATCAAGTATTCAAGTATATACCCAAAAGAATTGAAAGCAGGGACTCAAACAGGTATTTATACACTAATGTTCAAAGCAGTATTATTCACAATAGCTCAAAGGTGAAAACAACCCAAGTGTGTATGAAAGGATTAATATATTAATATAAGCAAAATGTGTTATCAACAGATAATGGAATATTATTAAGCCTTAAAAAAAAAAGGCTATTCTGACACATGCTTCAACATGGATGAACTTTGAAGGCATTCTGCTAAGTGAAATAAGTTAGACACAAAACGACCATGTATGATTTCACTGGCCTGAGGTACTCCATTGAGAGCAGTCAAATTCATAGAGACAGAAAACAGAATGGTGGTTGCTAGTGGTTGAGGGGAGAGGGGAATGTGGAATCAGTTTTGCAAGATAAAAAAATTCTGGACATTGATTACACAATAATATGAATGTATTTAAAACTACTGAACTGTACACTTAAAATGGTTAAGATGGTACATTTAATGTTATGTATATTGTGAAAAGCAATCAAGTACCTAAGTGGTAGTTTTCCTTTATTCAATTCTATATAGTACAATTTATAATCATAGGAAAATGTTTTAAAAATGTGGCTAGACTAGACATGTCATTCAGCTTGTTCAGAGGGTAGACATTACCCTTCTGCTCTCTCACAATCTAGTTCACTGTGTGTTAAATTCTGAAGAGGTAGGGATGGGGGTACTCACACTTTATCTACTTTATTTTATTTTCTGAAAAGTGAATATAAAAGCATAAGAAGTACAAGTAGAATTCTACTTGAGTAAATCTCCCCTAGTAAAAAAAAAAAAACCCTCTATATGGAACATTCTTTATATAGAAACATTTCAATTATATAGAAACAGATATGAGAAACAATCAATATCAATATTTAACAGTGATGGAATGGCTAAATAAACTACCTAGCAAATGGAAAATTATGTAGTCAACAAAAATGACTCTTATGAATGAAAATGGAAAAGATGCTTTTAAAATAGGTCATTTAATTATGCCAACAAGTACATTCTAAAGAGATTAGAGTGAGATATCAACATGTTAACAGGTAATTTACCTTTGCAAAGTATAAGTAACAATCTCTCCTTGTCTTCATATTTTCTACACTTTGCAAATATTCTCTATTTGTTTTTGGTTTTATAATGCATTTTGCTTTTAATATTTGTCTTCCTTTTATGGTGAATTCTTTTTTAAAATTAGTTATAATTTTTATAATATTTTAAAGCATATTTTTAAAAAGTAGAAAACAGAAGAATAAAAATTTAACTTTTTCTTCCAAAGTACTCACATTCTCAGGTATGCTGGGAAGTTCTCTGGTATCAGGCACAGTAAAATAAGAATGCTGGAAAAGAAAAGCAAAAGCTATTTATTTTTGCTAAAATGCAGAACAAGCACATTACCGAGAATTCAGGTAAATGACTAGAAGATATTTCCTTGCTCAGATGAGCAAACAGTTTCGCTCATAGGAAATATACACGAACCACTTTCTCTGGATAATGTTGGATTAAACCAGATGCATTTTAAAATAATCAGTTTGGCAGATGGAGTTCTTTTCTATGAAAGATGAACTTCTTTGGGAGATATAAAGGAAGAGCTCAAAGAGGTTAAAAGTTAAATTTCCATATGATGTTTGTAGGTTTCTGAACACATGAAAGCTTTAGGTTTCATAATTTATTGTTCAATGAGGCAAGTGGATCCTAGGGACAAAAATATCACTAGATTCAGTCAGTGATGGTTTTTACCAACCAAACCTGTCATTTCCTTTCAGCATCTGAGATTATATCCACCTACAAACTGTGGCCAAAATCTGCCCCAAAGGCCCAAGTGATGTTAAGAACAGCTCGATATGAAGGGCCACTACTCTGAGACCATTATAGGTGGTTAACAGTGGAGAAACCCTGTCCACTAAACACACTCTGTGAATAAACATCCTGACATCCACTGGGGTCTCCAATGAAGGGAGCTGGAGACTCAGTGGAGTTGAAAAATCAACCTCTTCAAAGAACTTTCAATGAGGCATCTCCATATATGTAATAAGCATACATCCCTGAGTTAAATAACAACAGGCTGAACTGATGACACCTCCTCCTCCGCTGTTTCAAAGACTCAAGGACAATGGCAAGCAGGAATGGAAAAAGCCTGGTGCTGGCCAATTAAAGATGGGATTGTGCAAAGGCCAGGAAAGGTCACATGCAGAGAAGGTCAGCTTAGCCATGGCCTGAGTTCAAACTTGGACCCCCAAGCGACATTTCAGGGAGTCCCCTCTCCTATTCTTGGGTAATTATAAAATAAGTACGTCTCTAGAAGAATGCATTGTATAGGTTTTCTGAAATGAAAGGCCCTGGGACAACTATAATAATGACAATTAACAACAATAATACCATGAGCTACTCATCTAATATTTAATAGACATTTTTTGAACACCTGCTATATGGAAGGCATTATGTAGAGTATTTTATAAATATTACCTTTAATTTCTATAACTAACTTTAAGATAGATATTACCTGCAGACTACAAATGGGTAAATTAATGCTCAGTGAGGTAGTCAGTCTAAGGTCTCATAGGAGTAGGTGGTAGAGCTAGGACTGAAACCAGGTGTGTATAACTAGAGCTGAGCTCTTTCCACTACACCTGTGCTTTTGCTGTGTAAATTACAGCAAAGAAACTTGGATTAAAATAATAAACTAAAAAATAAAAAACAACAAAATTTATTAAAAAAGTAACTTTAAAAAGAAAAACCTTCTGCGATGTATTATTCCAAAATCTGTGTGTATGCCAAAATATTACCTGTGAAGTTTTACAATAGGGATGGTATGGCATGGAAACTAGTAAACAATTCAATTTAACAACGAGGATTAAAATAGGAAAAGTTAAATACAAGGTTCACATTGGACTCCATCAGACATCAGCTTCTACACTAATAGCTAGGAGGAAGTTTTAGGAAATACTCAGTAACAGATGTCCACATGGTGATAGAGTCACCAAGTAACGGTTTGGTGCAATGAGACAGAATGAACTCAGACCATAGCCGGCCGCTTAATAGCTATGTGAGTTTAGCAACTTCATTTAATAGCACAGAAACTCAGCTTCTGAATCTGTAAACAGGAATTATAATACCTACTTCAAAACTGTTGTGAAGAATGTTATATATATGAAGTGCCTAGCATGTAATGATATTTTAATATAAAATTATTGTTGTTCTCAACTGCTAGTGTATGTTTCTGTTTTTCTCAATAGACTGTATCAGACATATAGAAATACTCTCTTGTAGAGAGTGACTAAAGAGAAAAAGTCCAGTATTGCCGTTTTATCAACATTTCAGGATTTATAACCGAGATGAGACTAGTCCTTCAAAATCAAAAATGCAATACGGAGAGAGGAATTCCTAGTAACAGGAAATAAAAAATATGTCTTTACAAATGAAATGGATTGTAAACGGCGAGCCATTGCAATTCCAAAACCAAGTAGTCCCCAGGCTGTCCTTTGAGATTCTGTCTTGCTCCATCGCCCATGAAATGCTGGGGACCAAGGGAGGTCAGAAACATTCCTAGAAACCACTGGCATGAAACAGCCGCACCACCCCAACAGTTCCTCCTGCCCCTGACACGGCTCGTCCTTGAGGCCTGGCAGGCATGCTGCCTGTGCAGCCATTCAGGGGAAGGAGTGGCCCTTCCTCCCCAGCAGCTGGTGACCCAGCTGGGCTACTCCATGGCTACCTGTCGGATGTCATTACAGACTGAAGCGGTGAGATCAAGCTGCTTAGGAAAAGGGACAGAGACAAAGGCAGAGTTGCTTAGCTATACAGCAAGGACGGGGGCAGGTTTCAAGCTGATCTGTTCATCTTTTTCAGTCTCCCCTCCCTCACGAGCATTTTTGTAGCAAGGTTTCTTTCCTTCCTACGTTCTATTAAAATGAGCAAAAACCTCTTTGAATGCATTTGTCTGTTTGTTTGTTCCTTTCCTCCCTCTCTTTCAACACACATGGCACAGTAGAAAGAACACAGGCTCTGACGTTAGCTCTGGGTTTGAAAACCCAGATTTTATCACTTATTAACTACCTGACCTTGGATGGGCAAGTGCCATTTCCTCTCTACACCTCATCTATGAAATGGGAAGGTTAGTATCTCATTAGTAGAGCTGTTCTGAACACAAAAGATACATATTCAGTATAAATTAGGAACTTGATAAAATAGATCTATCATTAGTTACTGGTAGCAACACTGCTTTCAATTTTATCATCATTCTCAAAAACACTATAAGAGGAATTAATTTTCTTTAGGAGGGCAGATACCTTTCCAGCCACTGAATACCAACGTTGTACCTCATCCTAATGAAGCTGAAAGACAAAACTTTTTAAACTTTCCAGCCCCTCAATGCAGGGGAAACAGCGCCTGGATAATAATCAATACCTAGCCAAAGGGTGTCTGTCTGAGAATTCTGATGAAGGCAGTCACAAGGGTTTGACCTAGGGAATTAGAGAATTCCAGCAACTGAAATATGGAAAAGATTCCCTACACCTCTTTTGACACCTTATCTGACAGATGAGGAAACTGAAGCCCACAAGGTTAAAGGGCTTGATTAAGGTCACTCAGGTCATTGGCAAGACGACAACTGAGATTGAAATCTCCCAGTTGGTAGTTCAAAGGATTTTCCACCCCAGCCCACTACAGAACATGTAGTATATATTTAAAAGCATGCAAAGAAACTATTACTGTGAGCTGGCAACTACGCTAAGCACTCTCCCTCTCTGTCCTCAAGGGACACACAGTCCAGGGAGGGAGATAGGAAAACGGAACATTCCAATATGGTGTAACTCGGTACTGCAAAGTGTGCGAGATGTTTGGAGCAAAGGAGACAATCTTCACTAAGCCTGTGAGGTGTCATGGGAGGATTTCTCTGGAAATAACATCAGAGTTGAGTTCTGAAGGATGAATATGTGTTATCCTGGCAAACAGGGGAGAGCAGGCGATGTTGAAGGCTAAGGGTGCAGGATGGGCTTCAGCAAAGGGAGGTGCATGGCAGTGCTGGGGCACAAAGGGTGGTGACACAGGGAGCCTAGGACAGGGACTGAAGAGGCAGGCAGGGGCCAGCTGTCCTATTCCAGCCTAGCATCTGTGATCTGGGAGATGCTCATAATGGGATGACAGTCAGAGAAGATCCTGGGGACATTTGGGACCCGTCCATTCCTCATGGAATCTCAGAGAAAGGAAGAAATTCAACTCCCTGGCCTGCCTTGAGTCCATAGGTCTCAGTATTCAGGGGTAGGGGTGGGATGACAAAAAGGGTGCAGATGACAAAAAGCCAATCCTGTTTGGCTAACTCCCTCCTCCTGTTAATGATGAAATGCTTTCTGAGTGACGGCTAATATTCTGCCCCACTTACCACGCTGAGATGAACAGACACTCCTGGGTCAGGGATGGGAAGTTTGTGCAGAGTTTCAAGAAGCTCATTCCACTGATTTTCCTGAAAGAAATAAAAGGCCTAAGTAACAAAAGCAAGGCTGAGCCCTTAGTAAGACACCTGCAGGGAGGTCTGGGCACATATGACTGAGGGGGCTGGGCAGATGCTGGCCCCAGTACAGAAATAGGTTTGATATTCAAGTAGGGTTGGACAAAAGACAGTGTGTATGCCTCAAACATAAGAGCCAAATAGATCCTCCCACAGCAAGTTTGACATTTTCTACTCAGTGAGACACCTACCATGACCGCCTTTTATGGATCATATACCATAAGCTCTCAGCAAATCTATCCCCTCAACTCCATAGCAACAACTTTTAAATGCAAACAATCCTAGCTTACAGGGCGGGGGTGGTTGAGAGAAATAACGATGACACTATAGATCTTGTCTTCATCATCATTACCCCCAATTAATTTTATTGAGTGTTTACTGGTACACGCGGCAGCCTCCAATTATGGAAAGTTAGAAATGAACTAAGTTAGAAATGAACAGCATGCAATTTAGGATGGTGGCTGTGCATTTTAATTAGTAAAACTGAGCAACATAATGACATACAAAGCAGTACAAATTATTCAATTGAAAATGGATTCACCTCTAAAATGCTCAAAAGAACACTGCTCACAGAATTATCTAAAGGCTTTTCTCCCACCCTGTGGAATTCTTTGTGCTAACATAACAGTAATAAGTTTATATTTGCATCCACATGTTATCTAATTGATCCTCCCAACTACCCCTCTTTACAGGTGTGAACACTGAGGCTCTGAAAAGTGAAGCAACTTGTCTCATATCAGCCAGTTAGAAGGTACAAAGGGGTGGGGCACATGAGGGTGAGTTTTTAGGTGAAATGCAGGTTTTGTGTATTCAAGCCCAGAACCCTCTTGGCCTCACTCCAGCTGTCTTTGGTAGTGAACTTAGAGGAAAAAGAGGATGAGCCCAGTCCACAGGTTTGTTTCCATCTGAATTCTGACAAATCAAACAAGCTACTCACAAAGGAAAGAGATGAACTTATGGGTGCATGTGTGCATGCATTTAGTTTTGCTCTGAAACAATCTCAAACTTACAGAACAGTTGTAGAAACTGTTCAAAAGAACTTTTTATTTTCTGAACTATTTGAGAATGAGTTGCCAAGATTATGCCCCACCATCCATAGATACAAACAAGGAAGTTCTCCTACATAACCACAATTAATCATTGCTGTAGTTTGAATGTGTCCCCTAAAAGTTCATGTCTTAAAATTTTAATTGCCATTCTAACAGTATTATGAGACAGGATATTAATGATGTAATTAAATCATGAGGGCTCTGCCCTCATGAACAGATTAATGCCATCATCATGAGAGTAGGCTCCTGATAAAAGGATGAGTTTGGGCCCTATCGTCTCTCTGTCTTGAGTGCTGTTCCTCCATGTATGAGACAGCCAGAAGGCCCTCACCAGATGCCAGTACCATGCTCTTGGACTTCCCAGTCTCTACAACTGTGAGCCGCATAGTCTGGTATTCTCTTATAGCTGCAGAAAAAAACCTAAGACAATCATAATAATCAGGAAATTAATACCTATGCAGCATTACCATTTAACCCTCAGATCTCATCAAGTTTTGCCAACGATGCCAATAATATCCTTGACAGCAAACACTGCAGTTCAGAATTACATATTGCATTTAGTAGTTATGATTCTCTAGTCTTCCACAGTCTGGACTAGCTCCTTGGTCTTTCTGAGATTTGTATGACTTTGACAGCGAGACCACCCATTTTGTAGCATGACTCTCAACTGTCTGATGTTTTCTCATGATTTAGATTTCAGTCTGTCTCTTTATTGATGATGTTTGCTTTCATTCGATTAATTTATCTGATGTCTTTACTGTGAGGTTACTCTTTCCCTTTGTACTAAATAAATATTTTGTGGAATGATATTTTATTTCAATATATCATTCCTTAAACTTTCAGTTTATCAACTTATTTGTCTGATAAATGGGAGCCCACTTACCTCTTTAAGCTCATTTTTGTGTCTTTCTGACATGTCCCCATCATGTTTTGAGCACTTCTTTACTTTTTGGCTCAAAAGATAATTAAGACTTGATTTATACTCTCCCTGCCCCAGCCCTGGAATCAGACATTTCTTCAGTGATCTTTTTAATGGAGAATGGTATTTAGAGACCAAGATCTGGGCACCAGGTGAACTCATTGCTATTTGGTATTACTGATGCCAGGTCCTTTCAATGGATAGAACCAGGGAATATAACAGATCTGCAATCAGCACTTTACATGTCTATATCTATCTGCACATATTAAAAGCCAAGGGTTCACACCAGTGGCTCCAATTCCAATCCAATATAGGAATCATTCCAGTTTTCTCCATTTACGTTACTTATGACTATATTCTACAAAAGTGAAAAATCTCGCCCCTATTTTTTTAATCCACTTACTTACTTGTATGGAACCACTTTTCTGTTGCTGCCCCTGCTTCCTTCCCCACCCAGCTGCCCTCCTTGGCACTGACACCCAGGCTGGGCCTCCACTCTCCACCCCCTCACACGAATGCCTGCCCCACCTCAGAATCCAGCACCTCGGCACTGGGCCTCTTCTGCTGCCCCCTTCCCAGGGGATCCCTCTAGATCCCACTTGAGTTCTGACATCCCGTGCTGAGCTGCCACCACCACTCTCGTGCATGAACATCCTCCTCACCTCCCTCAGCCTCCGACGCCCTGAGCCAGGCCGCTCCCTGGCTGAGACGTCCCCCTTGCCCCTTTATCCTTTCCACGTGGATACTCACAGTGCTCCACAATAACCACGCCAAACAGACACCTTCCTCATGTCCCTCACCTTGGTCTCCCCCATACCCTATGCTGAGACGTTACAGTCTCAACATCTCTCTCTTACACACACACACACACACACACACAGCCTGCCTTGCCCTACCTTCCCAATGACTTTTGGATGGGAGAAGGTTTTTTTGTTGTTGGGGGGGGGTGGTGTTTTTTAATAAAAACTCTTTCCTCCTATTCTAATCTGGTGAACAATGCCTTGCAAACAATTAAGCCAGTTGTAGGCAGATTCCCTATCACCCATGTCATAAATCCTTTAACTAAAAGAAACTTAATAAAAAGAGCCTTGAGTTCAGAGGAAACAACTGCAACTAAAACACGTTCCTGATCTCAGTCTCTAACACCCCAAGGGGCAGGGTCCCTGCTGGAGCAATGTCCGGAGGAAAGGTTCACCAGTTTTACAGGGTAATAATCCAGTCTCCCCTGTGCTTAGGTTGTACCTACCCAACGTTCTTGAATCACAGGATGTGTTTTAAAAACTGTAATAAGTTCTTTGGGTATCTTTTTTTTTTTTTTTGACTGACTGGAGTATATGGAGGAAAATAAATGTGAGTCAATCTCCAATTCAAAAACTGTTAAAAGCCTACATGTTATACAATTCTATTTATTAAAGACACCTTTCAAATTTGAGTGAAAACCTGAATGTTTGACTAAAGATAACTGTGAATCAGAAATCAATGAACAGACCCAAGGTGACCTCCCAACTCATTCATCAAAGAGGAAATCACTTCTTTTATGACAGAATTTCCTGATGTCTAAGCTTCTTTTCAGAGTGAGGGTAGTGATCAAGGGAGCCATTTCTATTAGTTACTCCTTCCATTTACTGTGACCTCTGGAATACATTTGCCAGGAGTAAATCTATCTCTAAAAAGAGATTTATCCATTATACACACATTTTCTACCTTTCCTCCAAAGTGTGTTCCAGGAGACACTGCTACCTCAGAATGTTAGTATCTGTCGTGGAATACAAAGGGTTTGGGGCCCAAATAAGATGGGAGACACTAACAGGTTTCTACACTGCAGGACTTCTCAGAGCCTACATTATATATGAACCTTAGGGAGAAAAAAGAGAAACCCAGCTTTCCCTCCCCACTACTCCAATATTACTGAACTGTGATACCCCTTTTACGGAGCATTTCTCAGAATGTTCAACAGAAAAAAAATGAAGGGCAAAATTTCTTTTTAACATTTAATAATAATGGATCACTTTAATTAAAAAAACCTAGGCCATTTACAAAAAGGAAACTATGACATTATATATATGGACAAATATTCCACGCACTAATAATCAAAACAATGCAATTAAAATAATGAGACTTTTTACTTGTGAAATAAGCAATGACTTCAACAAATGATACCGGTGACAGTATCATGACCCAGGTACTCTCATGTATTGTTGGCAAAGGGTATCCTTTAAGAATACAGTACAATTCTTTTGGAAAGCAGTTTGGCAAATGTTTTAAAAATGTTTATGTCTACTGGCCTTACAATGGCCCGTCTGGGATACTTCTTTTAAGGAAATAATCCAAATGTAGAAAATGCTTTATGTTCAAAGATGCTAATGGTTATACTTCTTATAATAGTGGAAAAATCCCAAATGATGAAAATTCCCAATAATAGGAAAGTGTTTCAGTAAGTCAAGGTATATGATATGTTTTGCAGCCATGAAAAATATATACAACACCTTTAATAACACAGGAGAAATGATTCTGTTATAATGGTACCTGAAAAAGTGGGCTACTCCAATTGGCCTTTGACATCCATGGAAGATACCTTAACATACCATTTCTTTCAAAAGTACAGTAAGGCACAGCTTAACTTTTAAAGTAATTTTCAGACTCTTACAAAAATTACTGTGAAAGCACCACAAAGCCTTATTGAAAGGGGAACTCAGGACAGCTGGGTAGGTCATTTGCCAGTTAAGTGTTTTACTCATACACCCCAGATTTGCAGCATGACACGAGCAATTCAAATTTGTGTCTCAGCTAAATTATAATTTAATACATGTCATGAACTTCCAGGGCTGCTTGGGAATATTAGAAATTGTAAATATTAACTCTGTGAATGCTAACAGTTTATTTATTATTTTTTTAGTATAAAGAAAAAATTAAGAAAGAAAATAACCCAAAAAGCAAGCAATGCTTATTTTAGTATTTCAGTGATTTTCTTTCCCTTCCTACTATATTCTGAATTTATCATACTTTCTATAATGGGTATGCATTACTTTTTTGGCAAATGTTTTGGTGTAATAGAAAGCATGTATTACTTTTACAATGATAAAAATTAAATTTCATTTGTTAAAAAGAATCATTAAAAAATGGCAAATACCTGTCTTTTTGTCGTGTAATCTGCCAAGATGTTAAGTAGCTTATAAAATACCTCGAACCAGGGGAGATAGCTGGGGGAAGAAGAGAGGAAAAACACAAAATATTAGTATGCAGGTCAAACACTTTAACCAGGACCAAATTCAAGACTGATACATTTCAGTTTTTCTCTAGATCCTGAAGAGTCTTCCTGTCCGACTGAGCTGGAAACACAGACTGGTGAAATGCCAATTATTTCTGAGAGTTTAAAAACTGCCTGTGTCGGGCAGAGGATTGAATGTCCATTATAAATTATTCCCGTGGCTCAGAGCTAGAATAGGTTCATAGAGAAGAAATTCAAAGCAGACTCTGCAATCAGGCACCACCTCTAAGTAGCACCCCCCCCCGGCCATTCCCAGCACACCCACCCTTCCCAGGAAAGCTTCTATTCCGTTTCTCATGATGGGACACACACAGTACTCCCACTGCAGATGTCTGCAAAGGGTCCCACGAGCCAGAAACTGCCCATGTTGCCACAGCAGACATTCTATGTTTCACCCACCCTCCTATTTATTTCAAGATGGGCGCTAAGTCTCTGTCCTCACTGCCTTCCACCAGGTCCTGCCCAGCACTCGCCTTAACTCTAGCAACCTGTCTGCTATCCTCACCCCTGTGGTCCGTCCCTTCTGTGGTTTCTGGAATGGTCTTCCTACAGTGCAAATCTACATCACCTATGTTGGATTAAATTCCTGCGGTGACATCCCATTGCTACGGGATCCAGTGCACACTTGTCAGAATGAGTTTCGAGGCTCCTCACTGTCAGCCCCTGACCACCTCCGGCTGTCCTCTCTCTACTTCCTCATGTACATGCTTCTGTCATTCCTCCCGCTCCAGGAATGTCCAGGTATCCTCAGCCGGCCTGAGCTGGCATACACTTGTCCTGTCCTCCCTCTCACCTTCATGGTCCCTTCCAGCTGATTTCCGCTCATCCTCCTAATGGTGCCCCACCCCTCTCACTTCAAGTACCCTAACTCCCTCTTTTCTGTGCTGCGCTGGTCATGATCATACTGCTATGACCCTCCCTGGCATGTCCGTCTTCTCAAGAGACTGCACGCAGACAGGGAGGAAGGAGCACACATTTCTTCACTTTGTCTTCCCAGTGCCAAGAAAGGAGCTTGGTACACCGCCCGTGCTCAGCGTTTACTGAATAAAACTAGATAAAGACTAACAGTAAAGGAACATCAGTACTACAGAATTGCTGAAAAGCACTACCACCCTCAAGAAGTTTTGCCACTTACTTAAAATGGCTTTGTTCTCTATAAGGAACTTTTCCAAAGCTACATCAGACAGGCAGGTGAGAAGAGGATCGTACCAAGCACTTGCTGGCCTGGTCACGTCCACCCTGCTGAGCTACCAGAGTCCGTTACTGATAGAGCTGGACACGATGTAGAGCACAGATGTGACGTCCTGCCAGGGAGAGGGGAATCGCCACCCTGCACAGATTACTGGCTGTACTGCTGAGGGTGATAAATGAAGTGAGAGGCAACAGAGACGACGGATAAAGTGCACAGTCCTTTATCATGAGTGTCTGTCTGAAGCCAGCACATGCTACTGTAAAATTTAAGTAGCTTATCAAAATATACTGATAAGCAACTTAACTTTTCACTTCTATGACAGTATTATCACTTATGTTAATATGTCTCAATCAGCTCTGGCAGCTGCATATTGACTATTACACAGCAAATGACTGCTGCCACTTTACATAGCATTTACTTTGGCAGAGCAATGTAAACATTCAAGAGGGATTAGGGAGGAGATAAGTTTCTCCCTTCCTATTCTGTTAAATAAACCTCAGAGTTAAAAGCCATTATAGCAGAAACAAGAAATCCCCTCAGAAGAAAACTCTTGCACAGATTAGAGGACTCTCAGTAAACAAATTCGACCAAGTATTACAAATATTTTTTTTCCTGAAAGCAAAATACCACTAGTTAAATTCAGCAACTGAAAGTCAAGAGGGAGGGGAAAAAAGGCAAGAAGAGAAAATTATTTCCTTGCAAGGAAACTGTGACCTCAAGTAAATGAGAGAAAAGCTGAATTGTTTTAGGAATATCTGATGGAATGATGTGGGCCAGGCTGACAGTTTAGGACTGTAGTATCCATCAAAGTGGTTTTGGACAACTAGGTTCAACTGACCAACATAGCTTGGGTGCAGAAGCTCTAGCCTCAGTGTCCTCACCTGCCTTCGGGATGAAGGAGGTAGCATGGTAAGGACCGCCTGGCCACAGCAGATAGCGCCCGTCTCACACTCAGCCCCAGCCTCACCACATCAATTCATTTTGGCTACGCTAAGCGGACCATTGGCCATGGAGGTTCTGTAGTTGCCCTGGAAGTCAGTCATGTCTTTCTCCCTGTGGCTTGACCGGACACAACTGTTTCCCACATGTCGTCCCCTGTGCACTGACAGATGAATATCTAGTGATGGCAGTGTTAAGGTTTTGAAACCAAAACCCAGCTGTCTTCTTCTTCAAAGGGTCCCTGTTTTCCCCTGCCGGGAGGCCAGGGTTCACAGCGGAGCTTTATCCAGCGGCGTTTCCTGTGCCGCTTCATTAGTGCCGGCGCGACAGCTTGCGCGGCCTGCCGGGCTGCAGGTGAGCGTGTGGAGACCCTCCGCTCCATCCCGTGTGTGTCTGTCATCGTCGAGTAAACAACACTTCCCAGCCCAAAGACAGGAAACAAACACTCCATTACGCTTCTCCTCCCTGGACGTGTGAAGGGGCACAAACACCTCTGGTTTGCCTCTACTTGCTGCCTTCATGTAACCCCTGGGCTCTTCACTGCAGAGTGTCGCTACGTGGCAGTCCACAGCTGGGGCAGAAAGACAAAAAACAAATGGGCTCTGCACTCAGGAAGGCCATGTACCTCCCAGTCAGGAGGACAGTACCAGTTTGGGTGGGAGGAGCTGGAAATCTTTCCAAAGTGCTTCGTTTAGTTCAGACTTTTGGACTGATTTAGAAAACTACCATGGGGCAGCATCAAGACCCAGTGAGAAGACGAGGGAGGCCCAAAGGGGCGCAGCCTGCTTCCCAGGCACTACTAGCCTGGGTCCCGGCTTCTCACACTAACTCCAGCCCAGGTACCTTTGTCCCAGGCTTTGCCCTCGCTCCAGGCCTGACAGTCAAATAAAGTGGCTTCTCTTTTGTATGAGGTAGTACAAAGATTTTAAACTTGAGAATGGCTGAAGCGGCACCACCGTACTCCTACGTACACTGCCTCACTGACACAGGGCACCACAGCCCCGAACGTGGTGCAGGGGCAGGTTCTAAAGACAGCACTTAAGAGCAGCAATGGCCCATGGTCAAAATCACCCTTGAAACACCCTTCCATTGCCCTCGAAATACAGCATTGTTTGTGTAGATACAAAGTAGTCAGACTGAGTTGGGGTGGGACATGCTGAACGTAAACCTTCTATGTTTAAGTCTGTCAACTTGGTGAACTGCTCACTCTTGAGCTGAACTCAAGAACCGAGTCCATCTGAGGGCAGATGGACTTTTCTAATCTCACTCCACTGAATGGATTGTCAGGATAACCAATCCCACTGGTGTGCACACATGTATGATTGATCTTGTACAGGTTAAGTGTGTATATAATGGAATTCTACTTTTTTGTGATAGTATTAAAGTAGGAAACCATTAACAATTTTAAAAGCTCTCCAATTACTCTTTCTAGTAGTCAGTTCAAAGCCATTAGATGGGACCAGGCAAGGTAGGGGTGGGTTTGGAGGGGCATTGGTGGCAGAGTGAGGTGGCAAGGGCCAACCAAGTTGAGGAAGGTGACCGCATAGGAGGATGGTAGTCTGGAGCAGGCTGTCACAGCTCACGTGAGGAGAGAAGGCTATCGTCCTGGAGGGGCAACTTGGCACAGGGTATAAGAGCCCAACTGGGGTGAGGAAGGCATTCCAAGGAGGGGTGACTGGGCACAGTGTGTTGGGGACTAAGTAGGGTGAGAAGGGCTCCCCAGTAAGGGAAAGTCAGAGCCCAAGCAGGATAAGGAGGGTGTCAACATAGCGGGAGGCCTGGCTTAGAGTGTCAGAACTCAGGAGGGGTGAGGAAGGTGTTGATGCAGGGGTGAGGCCTGGCATGGAGTACAGGAAGTGTCTATGTGGAGTGGAGGGGATTGACCAGCAATGGTATTAGAACCCAAGAAGAGTAGGAAGAGCATTTGGAAGGCAGTCCAATGTGGGATGTCAGAGCCTGTGGGGCAGGAGGGCTTCCATGAAGGGTGGCCAGTCACAGTCCAATGAGCACACTTAGTGCCCTCATCTTGGTTTCTAAATACTATTCTCCACTAAAAGGAACTCAGTCTCCTTCAAGAAATGTCTGATATGTCTGATTCCAGGGCCGGGGCTGGGAAACACTTTGTTGTGCTAAGGGAGGGAGGGGAGAAGCAGCATTCAATATATGATCAGGACATACCAGCAGGACACAAAAGCCAGTGAGGAGGGGCTCCCACTGACAACATCTGCATGAGCAATGGCGTGATCGTGTGCAAGAGATGAGGCTCGAGGGGCAGGTGGGGCCAGACTCCACACGGCCTGGCATATGCCAAACTGATGGGCCTCCCCGGCTTTATTCTGTAATCAGCGGGGAGCCAAAGAGACTGTTAAAGAGGAATAACATCCTGAGATGAGGATTTAGAACCAGGTTGAAAGTGATTACCTCCCCTCACCTTAACCTCAGTATACCTCAGCCCTGTCAGAACCAGTGTCCACTCCGCTACCCTAAAAACAAAATCTTAGATACTATAACCTAGTCATCCACCTAATTTGAAAAAGATCAATATAATGCTTTGGTTTCCCTATAAAAGAGAGATAAAAACCAAAGTAATCTACAATAAAATTTTAAGACTTAAACACTCAGGCACTATTATATTAGAAGATACAACGAAGTAGTGCCTCCCTCGGGGGACTCGTGGCAGAGCTGCTTCTGCTCATGTCTGGACTGATGAATTTAAGAAAAGTGACATGGCATAGGGCCTTCCAGTTGTTTTTGGTGACTTTCTATCGCCTGAGGAGCTCCTGAAATTTCACTTGGGTACT